GGGTGATTGCACTATGTGTATATATGCATATATATCTAATGAGTAGCATGGTCAAAACTATTGCACTCAAAATAATAGTACTTATAAATTAAACCTTAAAAATTCCATTTAAATTATTTAAAGTGGCAAATTAAAATGAGTAGAATTTTAAGCATTTTTATTCAAAATATTTATCCAGACATTTAATTATATATAAACTTATATGTATATAATTATTTTACATTTATTAACTATGCGCATTATTTCTAGAATATGCAACATAATAAAATGTGAGAATATAAAATTAAATGAGTACGATGAGACTGAAAAATCTAAAGCCTGGGAACATCTCTATTTCATTGCACCTAATTTAACTTTGTTGGTATGACTTACAAGATTTTAATGATACAATTATTTATTTGTTAAATATTTTCTTTAGCCTATAAGAATTAATTAACAAATTATATCATTGAATATGAAAATTATGATGGGTATCCAATCATCCTAGCACAATCGATATCTATATATGATTATTAGTCGAATGCGAATTAAAATTAAAATTTTTAATGATGACAGCTATCCTACATGTTGTCATCTGCAATAGAGATATGTGTTTAATGATACAGCTATCCTACGGAGTATGTCAGCTGTCTTCACTAAATACGATATAGAACTTACAAAAGCGACGCGTGAGGAAGTTCGACCGTGAGCCTATTGGATATATACTGCTTTCTGGCTTTGAATTTCGTTGATATTGTGAAAGCCCGCTGTCAATAGATTCCATAAAAAAAAAATATTTTTATGTTTTATAATAATTAATTGACCTAATCAGGTCTATCTGTTTTCACTTAATTTTATTATTGCTGGAATTATAGGAGGATCGAATTATTTAAGAACTAAATCAGCGGCGAGACCTCTTTCGCTGTTTTCTCATTTGGTTTTCCGGTTAAATAGCAATTATAGGCGATACAATTCCATGCTTGTTTATAATCTAATAACCATAATTACATAAAATGATTCAACAAAACTCAACCAAGAAAACAAAACTACTATAAGCTACCTACTTACAAAATTTAAATTTTAATTATTTAAATACAAACGTGTAAGTGCAATATAAGCCTAACCTTAGTATTTATTTTTTAATTTAAATGAAAATATAAATTTCAATGCAAGCTGACTGAGCCATGAATGTTGATCCCTTGTATGATGTTGGATATATTAATTTATAGCAGTTAATTTATTTATTTTTAATCTCTTACATTGGTTTTGCACATGTATGTACACATACATAAATGAATGCTTTAAAAAAGCTTATATAGACATAACATGAGTATATAAATGTAGAGAATGGGGATTTATCTTTATGTTGAAATTATTCTAAGCACTACATGAATCCCTTCTATATGACATATTTCCTAAAAAAATTTTAAGTTATTTGAATATAAAATTTCAGACGCAAATTTGCTGTTTGTGGAGTCTCCTGTGGGCGTGGGCTTCTCTTACACGAATACAAGTTCTGATTTACAGCATTTGGGAGATGCCGTCACGGGTATATATAAGAAATCGCTTAATATTGCTTTCCTGATTTGTTTATCAAGCGAGATTTTTTTTAAAACTAACTCTATTGCATTTTAGCAAATGATTCCTACGCATTTCTGGTGGGCTGGTTCAAGAGGTTTCCACAGTACAAGCCCTTCGAATTCTATATAGCTGGAGAAAGCTATGCAGGTACTACGCCTTTTAAATTAATCTTCATCTTATTCTGAATATTTTTTAATGAATTTGTGATGATTATATTCATCATTTATTAATTTCAGGACATTATGTCCCACAACTTGCTAATAAAATATTTGATGCAAACAAAGAAGCAAAGGAGAATTATATCAATTTCAAAGGCTTCATGGTAGGTATCGCATACCTTTCACATATATAGCTGCCATCTAAATTATTTGATTCCCTTTTCTGAATCACATAATTAAATTTTTTATATATTTGCGTATATTATTATGCAGATAGGAAATGCATTGATGGATGATGAGACGGATCAGACGGGTATGATTGATTATGCGTGGGATCATGCCGTCATCTCCGATCAGGTATACCGAGATATCAAGATAACGTGCAATTTCAGTATAGAACACGACAACGATTCTTGTAGTGCTGCGCTGGATAGATATTTCCAGGTCTACAATATAATCGACATGTACAGCTTGTATGCTCCTGTATGTGTGGAAAAAAACACAGCCAAAAGATTTACTATGATTGAAGGCGTCGCTCCTAAGCTCTTCTCGAAATATGTAAGCATCCAATATATGTTATTGTTAATCATATGAATAGTTTGGTTTGATGCAAATTAAATTTAATATAAATTAAGTTATTGAAGCTGAGTAATTTAAGAGGAAAATGAGCAGTGAAGTGAATTAATTTTGAATGAGAAACTAAAAGGGTGATTGCACTATGTGTACATTTAGCTTTTTCGGGTGAAAAATAAGAATAAGCAGGGTTTTTGTTCCACAGATCGATGATTTAATTGTAGGTTTGTTTGAGAAAAATCTGGTTTTTATGTGGCAAAAGTAAAAAGACTAACAAGGTTTTGAATTTTTTTTTGTTAACAAGAGAGAATGGCATCAGAAGCCTGCAGGTTATGATCCTTGCGTCGAAACTTATACAGAAATATACTTCAACAGGCCAGATGTGCAAGAAGCTCTGCACGCAAATATCACAAAATTAGGCTACAACTGGACTCATTGCAGGTCTCTAACATATCATTATCATTTTTTATTCAATAACTACAACTTTGTGTTTATATATATATATATATATCAATTTAGCTTTTTCTTTGACAAATCTTTTTATTATTATTATTTTCTTATTAGTGATGCCATCGAAAAATGGAATGATGCGCCTGCCTCCGTACTGCCTATCATAAGAAAGCTCATTAATGGTGGCATCAGAGTTTGGGTTTACAGGTAGGAATCCAAAAATCATGCTGGAGCAAAGTTTGCTAAAAAAATGCTCAATTTTGTGTAGGATTGTTCATTTGATTTACACTTTGCTTGCTCTTTAATACTAAACTCTTCCTTAAGCAAAGCATATATCCATGAAAGTACACGGAAATAATAATCAAGTATATTAAATTAAGCCAATTTTCAAGAGGGACAGCCTAATAAAATTATGTTCTGCTTATCCATAGAATTTCCAGGAATTTCATGTAGGAAAAGAAGAAATAATAAGACTTCCTCATAAATTAACAACTTTCCTGGTGCAGCGGAGACACTGACGGTAGGATTCCAGTAACCTCAACAAGATTAACCCTTCGTAAGCTTGGCTTGAACACTACTCAGGAATGGAAACCTTGGTACAACAGGCAGCAGGTAACACAATAATTTTGAATATATTTGGTCAAAACTTCAAAATATTGAAAAAATTACTCATTTTTCTTAGCAATTCAGGTAGGTGGTTGGACAATCATCTTTGATGGACTAACTTTTATAACAGTTCGAGGTGCTGGGCACCAAGTTCCAACGTTTGCTCCAAGGCAAGCACAGCAGATTGTATCACACTTCTTAGCTAATCAACAATTGCCTTCATCCTCGTTTTAGATTTCATCGTTCCTCTCAATTTTCCATAATTTAAAACCGTTGTCAAGGGGATTAAGATTAATCTCCCAATAGCTTGTTTCCAAAATAAACGTGTTGGTTGTAACTAAAAAGAATGGAACAGAAAAAGCTTATTTGGATGTCTTTTTAGTTGTTATTCTTACATATTTAAGTATTCTTTTATTAGCAAAGATATGATAAATGAAGAGCTTGTGCAATGAAGCTTCATCAGGTTTAAATGAACATATTTCTACTTGAATAAATAGATAATGAATTCTAAAATCACTGTAATCAATAATTAGGCCTCACAATTCATAAACGGCATATAAGATGAGTTCAAAAGCCATGTTCGGAATTATGAATTAATCATGTTTTTACTTTCGCTTTCATTTCATGAAAGTTCCATTAAAAAAAAAAACTCTAATTTAGTTAACAATTAAGTTGATTGAATAAAAAAAAAAACAATTGATGTTGATCAGGCTACTAAAAAAATTACCTAATAATTTCTAATTAGTAGCCTCTATCTCCGAAAAACTAGCCCTAACATATACTTAACTTCTAACCCTTTAGCATAAAGGAAACTAAAATTAGAGGGATAAGAGCAGAGACAAAGTTTATGGCACCTTTTTTGGTGCAACAAGCATTTTAGGGACGCATCTTGATCGTTTCTTGATAATCTTGAGTGTGAGCTTGTTACCATAATCTTATGGCTGACAATCTAAATTTCACCATTATTAAGGGATAAAGCCAAGGCATTGTGCTCATGACATGAAAGAATTTGGACTCAAATATCTCCATTTATTTCAGAGGAGTCCAACACCTTAATGCTTGACTGCAACTCCTCGATGCTACCATTTTATTGCTTTGATGCTATGTAGCATCTCCATGCTCACCTCTCTATTTTGAGAGCAATTTTAAAGAGAACTGGAGGTTTAATTTCTCAACACTTCAATGTTGAGCTCTAGCTTATCTGTGCAGTGTAGGGCCTCTGCCACAGTACCACCTCATAGTACCAGTGAGCTATAGCTTAGATGAAATATTTTTAAATAACTTTTCATGCTTAAAATGGCCAAGAAGGAAAGGTTTTGTTGGTCCTTGCTCATGCTGTGGGACAAGTATAGTTAAAGAGGTAAAAAATAAGAAGCTTTCTGGAAGCTTAAAGAGAAGAGAAAATAAGGGATAGTTAAGTTTACCCTTTATGCTAGTTTAAGTTTAGTCTTAATAGCTCCATCCCTCATCCTAGTTCTTTCCTGACAATAGGCTTCTCCCTTCTCCCACTTCTTCCTTCACATTGGAGGTTCAATCCTTAAGAGTCTTGCAAAAACGAGGAGAAGGGAGCTTGCAAGAGCTATTTTCTAATAGTTCAAGCATCTTGCATGCTAAGGAGTTGGATGATTTAGAGATCAACCTCAATCCACAATAGTAAATATTTTCCCTCTCTTTATGATTAACAACATTGTTAAAGGCACTTAATATCCTTCTAGAAAGTTAAATTTAGTTTTGTATGTTTAAAGAAAGCTTATAGGACAAAAGGCATTTTCTCTTAATCCTAATACAATTTTTCAAGAGAACTTAAAGCAAACCTCCACCGTCCTTTGGCACTATAATGCCATTGACAGATACTCAGTCACCACACTGCCTAAGCATGTAATGCTTGTGCAACACTACAATGTTGTTGATTGTTTGAAAAATCTAACCTCTCATGCTTTTTGGTATGATGGATTATCTTAAGTTTACACATTTGGAAGCACGAACATGGATCAAACAATCATATTTGTGTTTGACCATCCCATTCGAACTATAATTGTTACACAACTACATAGTGTGATGGCCATATTTTCTTACTAGTTTATGTTTAACCACAGTGAGACAAAGAACATAGAAGCTTGAGTCCCACCATTGAGTAGGATTGGTTTTTGAAGATCATAAAGTAGATTCAATGATTTATGAAAAATTATATTGATTTTAAGCAATTACAACATAAAACCTACAAGACAAGGATTTTGGAAAGTTTACAAAGAATTTATAAAATCCTTGGAAATACATGACAATTTTTAAAGATAATGGAAAATATTCATGGAAAAGGTAGAAATCATATCTTAAATTATCCTTTCTTAATTTTTTTTCCTTTGTTCTTCATGGTTTTAGTGTGGGAAGAAGAAAAATTCAAAAAAAAAAAAAAAAAAAAAAGGAACAAAGGGGAAAAGAAGAGAGAGGTTTTGACTGTTAGAGTGGAAAAAATAAGGAATGTTGGGCAGTTTTAGTCAGTGGGAAGAGGGTGGTCGACAAGGTTTAAGGAGGGAGGTTATAATTTGAAATTAATAATTTTGATTTGGTTCAATTGGAGGGATCCACGACTTGGCTTGGTTGGACCATTGGAAGAAGAGCATGTGAATCGATGTTGCATCAGAAGGAATTGGTTTGATGAAGAATTAAATTAAAGTAGAAGATATAATGACAAAGTTGTAAATTAAGCCAAATTTGGACAATGAGATGTAAAAATTTCCATAACTTGGCTTAGAAAAATGAGAAAATTAAAATTAGTATTCTAATTTGAGGAAAAAATAAGGATTATGATGTTTCAATTGATTTCAATAAAGGAGCTGTGTAGCCATAGTTATGTTTATTTGAAGTTCAAAGTTAGTTGGTTAGGTGGTCATGATGGTCGAGAAGTCGACTTTAGCAAAAAAAATTTGCTCTGGTCAAATTGATAGAGAAAAGTTCTAAAAATTAGTGGTCGAATTAGGTTTGGCTAATTCCACCTTGATAAAGAGATATGATTAGTTAAAGTAGGCCCCACTTAAGGAGAGAGAAAATGTTAATTTCGATCAAAACTTTTCATTTCTATTTATTACTCTAAATGATGTATTTTTTGGCTTATAATAGCTTTTGGTTAAATATTAGAATTAATATGTTGCCTTTTTGAATGAGTTATTGTCAAATTATTATTGTATACAAAATGATCTTGACATTTTGAATTAAGTGAAAATATGACACTCATTAGCACACAATAAAGAAAAGTATTCACGTAACCGACCCCACTTAGTCGGATAAAGGCTGGTTATCCTTATTGTTATTGCTTTTTATTGTTATTGCTTTTGTATGCTAGGATATTTATTAAACTAAATTTTTTAAATATTGAGTTATTCTAATTAAAAACCTACCAAAACCATAAAACTTATTTTGGAAAATTTTCGAATCATTACCAAAGGTAAGCTTTTTAAAGTTTTAAACTTAAAAATCATTAAAAAATAAACTACTACCGTAGATGAATCTAAATTGATTAAATTATATATTTTCCCTTGGTCCAAGGCATTGTGCTCATGACATTAAAGAATTTGGACTCAAATATCTCCATTTATTTCAGAGGAGTCCAACACCTTAATGCTTGACTGCAACTCCTCGATGCTACCATTTTATTGCTTTGATGCTATCTAGCATCTCCATGCTCACCTCTCTATTTTGAGAGCAATTTTATAGAGAACTGGAGGTTTAATTTCTCAACACTTCAATGTAGAGCTCTAGCTTATCTGTGCAGTGTAGGGCCTCTGCCACAGTGCCACCTCGTAGTACCAGTGAGCTATAACTTAAATGAAATATTTTTAAATAACTTTTCATGCTTAAAATGGCCAAGAAGGAAAGGTTTTGTTGGTCCTTGCTCATGCTGTGGGACAAGTATAGTTAGAGAGGTAAAAAATAAGAAGCTTTCTGGAAGCTTAAAGAGAAGAGAAAATAAGGGATAGTTAAGTTTACCCTTTATGCTAGTTTAAGTTTAGTCTTAATAGCTCCATCCCTCATCCTAGTTCTTTCCTGACAATAGGCTTCTCCCTTCTCCCACTTCTTCCTT